ATAGCTCTGTTTTTTTCTATGCATGTCTGCACTTATGTTGAATTTCATTATTACATGTATGTTTCTTTATCCTATTTTTTTCTGTAGAACTTTTTATTATTCCTCTCTATGAGAGAAACATTATTGTTCTCTTTTAATAATTTCATTTTGCCTTACTGTCTGGCTTAACATCCACTTGTGTTAGGAATAGGCTTAAGTTTTCAACATGGCTCTGTTTTTTTCTATTATGTCGAAAATTTCTCCTCTACGGGGAAGGTGGATCCATAAAGTATTGCTTAACTCTAAACCACTGGCCTAATTCAGCGACAGCTCTTGAAATAATAATAGGTCTCCATTTTAGTCGAAAGGGTTTTTTTGTATCTACATTTGCTGAGTCTTTTGAACTGCAATTTCTTTTTTCTTTGGCATTGTAGGTTTTACAACTGTTTCACTTTGTATTTTATTTTATTTTATTATACTATATATAATCCATAAATATATAAAAATAGCCATAAAACCTAAGTATAACTAGTCAATATAGTAGGAAATATTAGTCTTAGTAGTACAATAACAAACTCCTGGCCTTAGAAAGCAAGATTGAAGGTTTAAACATGTCTTAGGGCTAGCCAACCTTCACCTGTAATTTGTCTCTATTACTGAGCCAAAGGGAAAGGAAAGACTAACATTAGAAGAAAATGAAAATAAAATACACTATACCATTAAAATATAAAGATAAAATTATAGCTTTAAAATTTATAGGTCACGATCTGGTTTTATGAGAGCCACTACCGTAGACCCCATTTACACCTCATAGACCCCTAAATTATTTTTTTACTGGCGTAGACCCCTTGAAGGTCTTCATAGACCCCTGGGGGTCTATATAGACCACTTTGGGAATCACTGATATAGCTTATATATGAGAATACCAAATAGGCTATAATTTATAAAAGTATTGTGAGAGGTTTCCAAAATATAACGACAATTGTCAAGAAAGTAGGAAAAAATTCTGCCATCTGAAAGAAATTTATATAATATATCAAAAACAAGAAATAATAGATTATGAACATAACAAGAAATAACGTAATAAAAATATAAAAGCAAAACATGAACATCGAATTTATAGAAAAATACAAAAACAGAACTCCAAAAAGAACCTAGCGAGTCAGAAAGCAATTTCGGACTTAAGACCGAATAAGTAGGGTTAAACTAGTTTGAAGACGCCAACCTTCCCCCTTTGCAACTCGGTAGGAAAAA